GTTGTTAAGTGGATTTCACCACATTTTACACGTTGGCCATGCCCACCCAGTCACATGACTGCCAAACCACTCCTACTCAGTCACATAGCCAGCAAGCCGCTCCCACCCAGTCACATGGCTGGCAAGCCACTCCCACCCAGTCACATGGCCGGCAAGCCGCTCCCACAAAGCATGCCACATCTACAGAAGAAGTTCTAAATTTTTTTGAAACCCACCACTGCACTGTCCCAACTGGAGATGCCTCCCAGTCACACAACTCCAAGTGCAGGGCAAGACGTCCTTAACACTCTGAAAAGGGAATGTTATTTTAATTCCATTCCATATAATCCCCCTCCCAATTTTCCACAGCATTAAATGTGGCAGGCCTAAAGGCCCAATGCAAAAGATGGCTTACATCTAGTTTGCAAATGAGAGGAGATACAAAATACAAGACTGTAGTGGAATGGAGATTTAAATTTATCCGAATTCTTAAGTAATTACATCATTTGAACACTGAATGTTTACAAATTGGTTTTGTATAATTTTTTTTGTAAATTTGATTAAGTTGGAAGACGCAAAATGTTAATTAGCTACTCAAAATGCAGTTAGGTTTTAAATGAAGCAATTTACCATATCATCACTCACAAACCTGATAGGCTAAAGTGCTGAATAAATGTTATTGATCACTATTTTCTCTTAGAACAAGGGCTTTGACAAATCTGAATTTAGTAAATATATTTTTCTAACCATACTCATAATTTAGATTAAAATTAGATTATGCATGTGACTTCTCATCAAAGCTTATTAATGTAGGCTTATTAATTTACTTAACTGTTCCAAATAGCTAGGGATAAAAATATCCAACAAAAGAATTAACCCGGAGAAAGGTTTTATTTGCTATAATCACTAAATATTCACAATGTAAAGGACTACAAAAAGAAGAAAGAAAAACTAAAAGTCCATAAAAATAAGGATGGTGGATAAATTATAAAATCAAATAAACCAACTTTTTAATTTATTTCAGAGGACCAATGCAAAAATATGAACATATATGAATGATTCTGTATTTAATAGGTAATACACTATTATTGTACGAGACAAGAAAATAATAAAATACTCTCTTGGGGGCAAGTTGTTATGAAGGAAGATATTGATTTAATTACAGGCATTATTGTTTAATATTTATTAGCTAAATACTTTTCCATCTGTATTGTGTCCTAATTATGGGACTCAAAAAAAATGTCTTTGTGGACAATCTCATCAAAGTAGAAAAAGAATCGATACTACTCTTATTTATTTTGTTATGTTTATTTAATCTCTCAATTGGTTTTGAGATTTACTGACCATAATATCCTAGACTGGTTCTGTAGAGTTAAGTTGCAGAACATTCTATCAGAGGTTCCATTAACTATGTGATTTCTCAAGGTACTATTTTAAATTTATATAAAGCTGCCTTATATAGACATTAAAAGATTTACTTCAAGATATTATCATGTTGAAAACTAATTTAATATGGGAGAAATCACATTTGACTGAAGAAAATATTGCTTTTAGTTAATGCAACTTGTATTTGAGAATACACTGGGTAAATTGTTCCTTAAACTATATACTCAACAACTAGCTATACTGGGGGTTGTGTTATACTCCTGAAAAAAACAATTCTGCAATTTGGGAGTGCTAGTACTCATTATTGTTGCTAGAGGTCAAAGGGATCCTCACAGCTAGAAATATTTACCATTAGGTTTGTCAGGTATGTCAGATAAATGCATTTTCTGGACAGCAACAGCTTGGCTACTGTGATTCATACACCAGTATAGGTCTAACTGCTTCACTGCTTCATATCAGGCTGCCCTTAGATGACTGTATTGTAATCCTTGTGAATATGACCTTGGAATGTGTTCAGAAATTACAATTATTACAAAATGTAATAGCTTCATTACTGATGGGGGCATGTATATATTATAATTATGCTAAACAATCTGTAGTGCCCATTGATCAAGTTGATGACACTGATATTAGTATAAAAATCCTAAACAACCAGAGACAAGGTTAAGATTAAGGCTAAGGTTAAGATTCCATCTTAATATTGAGACTATCTTATCTTTTCTTGAACACAACATATATGTCTAGATTTTTTGGGGGGGAGGGGGTTGTGTGTGTGAAATAAATGTGCAGTGGTTAAGCAGAATTACATCCAACAAAATAAATAAGAAGATGTAATTTAAAAAAATATTAGATTGTGCAGAAATGGATAGATTGACATTAAAGACAAAAGAGAAGGAAGATACAGAATACTTTCAATTATGGGATTTGTTTTATAAATGGTTGCATAATAGAAGTCGAAATTAGGAGCTGAGAAAGCATTAATACAATGTACAAATAAACTAATATATACCCTGTATGTATGTATATATGTATGTATGTATGTATGTATGTGTGTGTGTGTGTGTATGTGTATGTGTATGTATGTATGTATACAGACAGACAGACAGACAGACAGGCAGACATACGCTGATAACCTGGCGTTGCCCGGATATTTTTAGATGTTGAAGCGTTTTTCTGACAATTATCAATACAATGAAATTTAAATTCTTTGGAAATTCATGACCTTCTTTCACTGTAAGAACAAAGCATTAAATTTACTCTGAATTTTATTATTAAAAGAAAATAGGGAAAGGTGTAGTAATGTTGGTACACTAGCTTGGTTTCAATTGTTAAAATGGACATGTTGTTGTAAAAAATATGCTGGAAATATAAGCAGATAGGATCAGATATGTTGTTTGTGTGTGCATGCATGTGTGTATGTTTGGTGGCAATGCTGTAAAGCTCAACAATTCAAAAAAATGATTCATACTATTATTACACTAATCTTAAAAGTTGAATTCCATTTCAACCTACAATATTTCTATTACACTTCACTAGTCCATATCTCTCTCTAAAGGTACTGAGTGATTTGGGTGTATAATATCAACAATAATGATATATGTGTCAGCACCTCTTCATTGGATAATTAGGAAAGAAGACCACGAGACTCCATAGGTAGAAANGCTCCAATGTTGTTCCTGGAATATGTTGGAATCACTCTCCCAGCTTAGGAATCTCAGCCCCAAGTATTCCTACCATCACTGGACCATTTAGGCCAGTGTTTCTCAACCTTGACAACTTGAAGTCCTGTGGACTTCAACTCCCAGAATCCCCCAGCCAGCTATGGGGGTTGAAGTCCACAGGACTTCAAGTTACCAAGGTTGAGAAACACTGATTTAGGCCTTTACTTCCCATATCTTCTCTAGTTCTTTCTTTCTGATTCTACTCCAGCTTCTAATACTCCTTCCTGATGTTGTAGAAGGGTGACTTCTCTTCTTGTTTGTTCTGGAGCAGCTTCTGTTCCCCACTGCCAGCCCCTCTAGGAATACCAAAAAACAATTCCACAGGCACAGCAGAACTAGACTTTATTGAGATAGGCTACAACAGAATCTTGAAAGCCCAATTGTGCTTCTCCCCTCCTCCCTTTTATTCCCCAAATAATTTGCCCGAACCTCTTCTGAATATTATTTCTTAGAACTTAACAATCTCTCTTTACTTACGTAATATATCTTGCACATTTGTCAGTTTATACTTTACTCCCATGAGCAAGCTGCCTTGAACATAAAGTAATTGCAAATAATTTAATTTTTTTCCCTTGGGGTAGATGAATAAATTAACCAAAAGTTCATGTTTTTTTGTTTCCATCTCTGTCTTTTGGATCTTGATTACAGTAGTTTTGTAAGATAGTGATAACACATGAAACTTTTAATAGGAAAGGCATACTGTATTAAATAATTGAATTCGGGGAATGGGATTAAATAACTGAAATTATGTGGTATGATCCCAAATTTTGCCAGTTACTTTAATCTTCTGCATCAGTGGTAATTTTTCTCCACATGTTGAAAATAAAACGAATCACTTCTTTGCTATTCATAGAATGAAACAACAAGACACTATAGAAGAAAGCAATCAGGAAAAGTAGATTGAAGGCATAGGAACAAAAAGAAGATTTAGCAGGTATCAATGTAAAGGTAGCAATGCAAAAGAAATAAGGGGAATCTCCCCCCCCCCCAAAAAAAAGTATGTTCTGAAAGAAGCATGCAGGATAATAAAGAACAGCGAATTATAGGAATAGAAAACTACCAAAAGTTCAGAGAGAAAACCAGGAAAAGTTAACAATATGGAAATCAATTTGAGACTCAATAGCAACAATACTACCTCACATAAAAATAGCTGTCTTAAAATAAGCTTTTTCAATCAATGTCAAATGATTCCTCAGTTGAATTAGTGTAACCAAGGTTTTTAAAAAATGAATGGCAGCTTGAAGGGGGGGGGGGGAGAAAGTTTCTTTTTAAAAGCTTGAGGAAAGCTTTGGAATGAATAGAACCCAGAGCAGTTGGATAAGGATATGGAATACAATGCAGCCATCAAGAAAACTAGCCAGTCTCTCCAGTAATACAAATCTACACACTGATATTCAGGTATCACAAAGCATTATTCCAAAAGAAGTATATTCCTCGGGGCATTTACCCAAGAAAAATGATTCATTATATAGAACTTTTTTTCTGTCTCTCAAACCATTATTTTGTGCTCCATTATTACCATAGTGATTTACAGATCATGTACTATAATTTGTCTAAGTGCTTTAGAAAAAGGTACATTTTCACTTGAAGAGGATGCAATGTTTTCCAGTGTTGTGCAAAGACGTTTTATTTTGTTCCCTGATATTATTTTGCTGCCTTGTTTTGTGTGCTTGACCTTATTTTTTATTGTACTTTAATACAATTAAATATTCCATGCTTTGGCAACCTTTTGTATCATGGAATGACGTATGAACCATACAAAACACATTTTTAATGCAGACATATGTATATACATATATACACACGCTCCTTCACACTTCCATATGAATATGACACCTTGTCACAACAAACATTTTAAGTTATTTAGGTCTTGAAGCTGGGAAATTAAATGCAGGAGGTATGCTTTCATGGTACAGGTAGTCATTTTAAGTGAATCTGGCTTCCCCCATTGACTTTGCTTGTCAGAAAGTTGCAGAAATCTTGGGACACTGTCATAAATACATGCCAGTTGCCAAGTATTTTGATCATGTGACCAAGGGGATGCTGCAATGATTGTAAGTATGACAAATAGCCATAAGTCACTGTTTTCAGTGCCATGGTAACTAAACAAATGGCTGTGGGTTGAGAACTTCCTGCAATCTCTTTCTCATGCCAGTAGTTCTGCATTAATATTTACGCCTGCTCAGAAAGCAGTATTCATTCCTCTGCACACAGTAATGAATAAGAAAGTTTCCTAGAATAAGGGATATTAAGCAGCTGAAATAATAAACATGGAAGAAAGAGAGAGGCCAGGGAGTCCCAAAACTGTTGATAAAAGGCGCATACAAAAAAATTGTACTTCAATGTTTTAATGATTGACGAATGATGAAATATTTGTGTTTTTTAAAAGAAATAAAACCTTTGGAGTCCAAAACTGTTGATAAAGGCCTAGGCTCAAGATGAAGGCCAACTGTGGGTTTCAAAGATAAAAAAGAAATGCTGCATTTTTGTTAGTTAAAAAAAGTGGACAGGCTAAGCATCCCGCATAGGAACCTCTCTGCTGCTAATGTTGCAGCAGAAATCATACGGCTTTGCCTGCAGTTGCATGAGTAAGAGCATTCTTGCCTTTAGTTTCCAAGTTTGCAAAAGTTAAGTTGTCTTAACTGAATTAGCAGCTTCTTTATTTCAATAATTTACTAACAGCTACATATTTGCAGTCAAAAATATGTGTTTTTTTTAACTGGAATGCTTTTATAGAACAATAATGAGCAATAATAGCAACGCAGAACTTCAGAATCCCTTAAATTCAGTTGAAGAAGGAATTTTTTTTTTAAACAGTGATATAGACTATACACTTCGTTCTTCCATCCATAATTCTTTCCTCCACTACTTTATCAATAGTGGTAGGAAACTATTTAAATTATAAATAACATTATCAATTCGCTACACACACACACACTCTCTCTCTCTCTCACTCATATATACATTATTTAAAAAAACAGATGAAATACTGACAAGTATCTGATTCCATATAGGTTCCTTCGTAAGAGCAACAGTGAGGTTTTTGGGTCCAATATTGACAGTATAGTTAATCCTTGACTGAAAGTCATATATTTGCCAGTCCCTCTGGATGCTCTTGGTGGAACTGTGCATGCGCCTCCCTGGAGTTTGAGAGCAGGATGCACTTCAAAGCTATATACATAATACATTCCACTGAAATCATACAGCTGCTAGCTTTGCTGTTATCCTGAAGGACGTCCATCTCCAATTCAAGTGCGGTGTTTGAGGATGATGGGAACTGCATAAGACCGAAAAACACCATCTTTAAATCACTTACAAAAATAATAGTCAACTATTTCAACCCTAAAACACCGATCTCTTCTAGTCACTAGAAGTAATCTTTACCGTTACAATATTGAATTTACTTACTGTGGTAAGTCATGGCTTGCTTAACTATAATTACTTAATGACTTATAACTAAATGTGTTAACCTAAGATAAATAATAAATTAGGGTTAATAAAGCATTGCAGCTAAATTCACCTAATAAAGTAAACTCCAGACAAGAAAATTACATAAACCTAGTTATTTATTCCTAAAAAGTGTTTAATTCTGGCTAAATGGTTCACATTTATTCTTAAAGCAGACACAATTCACATCTAAACATAACTGAATGGAGTGTCCCAAATATTCTAGCATTAAGAGTGTATCCCCATTAAAGGAAAGATTTGGAGCCAACTTTACATCAATGGCCAAACAACAGAAGGAGCCAGACATCAAAGCAGAAAGACTGAAGGAAAGGTACCGTATTTTTCGGAGTATAAGATGCACCTTTTTTCCTCGAAAAAGAGGCTGAAAATCTCAGTGCGTCTTATGCATCGAATACAGCATTTTTTGCCTCCCAAAGCCCTGCCCCCTTCACCAAAATGCCATGCATAGCCTTATGGAAGCTTTCAGACAGCTCCTGGGGGCTGGGGAGGGAAAAAAATGAATGAAAAACAGGCCGTTTTTTGCTCAATTCTGTTCCCCAGCCCCCAGGAGCTCCATAAGGCTATGCATGCAATTTTTTTGACAAAATATGGCCCATTTTTTTGCTCGTTCCCCCCCTCCCCCAGCACTCTGCAAGCCCCCCAAGGCTATTCATGCCTTTGTTTTTTTAAAACAAAATGGGCCGTTTTGGGGAGGTTTGCAGAGTGCAAAAACTTTTTTTTTCCATTCAGAAAGCTGTTTAGTTAGAGGGATTGATGAAAATTACATTGATCAGGTGCTGTGCCAGCAGAAACAAAGTTTTAGGTGCTTCAGGTTGTCAGCGATTTTCTTCTCCAGCACATAGATAAATACACTTGGAAACATCTACCTACCTCCCTACCTACTGTATTTCTCTCTCTCCCCCCCTCTATCTATATACCTACCTACCTACCTACTCTCTCTCTCTCCCGCTACCTATCTACTGTATTTCTCTATTTTTTTCTCTCTATCCCTCTACCTACCAACCAACCTACTCTCTCTCCCCTCCCTCCCTCCCTAATGTATTTCCCTCTCTCTCTCTCTATCCCTTTATCTGCCTACCTACCTACCTACCTAACTACTCTCCCTCCCTCCCTCCCTACTCTATTTCTCTATCTTTCTATCCCTCGCTATCCCTCTACCTACCTACCAACTTTTTTTAAAAAAATTGCCTCTTCAAAACCTGGGTGCGTCTTATACTCCGGTGCGTCTTATACTCTGAAAAATACGGTGAGTTTTCTTTTTACCAGTCAAGAATGTCATCAGACTATTTCAAAGTACTAACACCAATGTAGAACATTTTATTTACTTATTTTATTGTATTTAGAAGAATGTCAGAAAGGAATACGTACCAATAATGATTAACAAGACAACAACAGCAACCAAAGCCACAATTACCTTCATCTGCAAATTAACATACAGAAAAGTATGTAATTAATTCCCAATTGTAGACACCATTGATCAGCTTAATCCAGGTTCAACAGCATGCCAATAATAATGAGGGTACTCAGATAATTCAAAGTGGTTACACAGTTTCAAAATAAACTAACCTCAAGGGTCAAAATCATATTGAACCAGAACGTGGGTACAGGAAGTTCCCGTTCAACAACTGTTCAAAGTTGTGATGGTGCTGAATGAGAGGACCTATAACCATTCCTTGCAGTTGTGGCTGCTGCAGCATCTCCATAATCATGTAATTGCAATCTGAATGCTTGGCAACCAGCTTGCAATTACAACTGATGCAGTGTCCCGTGTTCGCCCGATCATCATTTTGAGAGATTAAATATTGGCTTCCGACAAAGTCAATGAAAAAGCAGGAATGAGGTTGCAAGCTGTGATCACATGACCGCAGGACATTGTGACCGCGTGGGATTCACCTAATGGTGGGAACTGGGACTGCTGCAATTGCCACTGTAAGTCACTATCACATGCCATACTTTATGAACATGTTTGCTTAGTGATGGAGTTGCTACTGCCAATTGCCATAGTTAATGAAGGCCTAGCTGCATTTATTAGGGCTATTTAACAATCTAGATTTGAACGGGAAAAGTTTATCCAGAGCATATCAAGATGCTTATATCAGTGTTTCTCAACCTTGGCAACTTGAAGATGTCTGGACTTCAACTCCCAGAATTCCCCAGCCAGCGTTCGCTGGCTGGGGAATTCTGGGAGT